TTTACATACTTTTTTTAAAGCTCCTTTGAATGAAACTTGAGGTGAAATCTAATCTAACATGTAGCACGTTAAAACCAAAAGGTGTTGGGGTTGGAATTCTGCCTTTGTGGACCATTTGTCTTTCTGACTCACTAATTCCAGTTCATCAGACTGGAAGTCTTTTGCTGAATGTTGTGATACGATGTTTTCCACAGTCAAATTTTGGACCTTTCAGGCTTTAAGCGTAATATTTAATGACATCGGTAGTGTTTACAGTATTCTATTAAAAATTTGCAGACACTGCCGTTGTACAACAGAAACTTCCACATAAAGAACATCACCTTAAGCATGTGACAGACTTGCAGCATCTGCATGCAATGGGTTCCTCTTCTCCATGCATATTCTAAAGGTTCCAGACTTTTCCTGGTGATTTTCAGTTCAAAAGAAGTCTCAAAAAGATGCAACTTTGAGACAAAAACCTTCTCAAAACCATGGCTATCTTATACATCTTCATCTGCTGCCATTACACGGTTTTCTTTCATCCTTGCATTCAGATTGTAAGTGTACATCACTTTATACAGTGCTGCTCTTGCCCAGTCGAGCACTGGAGAGGAAAGAACAAAAAATGGGATGCATTTCTTTTTAGAGACAGTGTTGCTCATTTCTCAGTTACATTGTTTTGGCAGACTGTTTTGTCTTACCTGTTGAAATCCGAGAGGTGCATGTTGGTACCAGGAAAATTAAATTTCTTGGAGAAATTTTTCATTGACTTAGGGCTTGCCACCATGCTTTAAAACTACAGGAAAGTATAGATCCTTGTTACGTATTCATATTGGTGACAGCTATCTTACAGCATAAAATATTTGAGTTAATTGAAATGCATTAACAAATGTTTTGTCCAATATCTAAAAATTAAATTCATCAAAGCAACTTAGCTTACATTTCTAGAATGATATTGATTGAAAATGTATATGCGATGTTCAGTTTGACAGATTAACATAGTTTGTGACTTGAGGGTAAGAGTTCTTGGTGAAGTTAGCCCCAGATATTTTAGCAATGTGCATTAAGGAGAGAGAAATTGTAAGACCAGATCTCATAAATGCAACTGTAGTTTATCTGGGCTCGCAGAAGGCTTAGTAAAAGTAAGTACAAACTCATTTCCAAAAATGTAATTGCTGCACTTACTTTCATTTTCTAGCTTAGTGATTGCTCTTTTTAAGTATCTGATTAAGACCTGATCCTGGGAATAGTAAAATTATTCCTTGTGTTGTTATCTGAGTTAGACTACTGTAACTTAAAAATCAGATTGCTGCTAAAAACAGAGAATGCAGCTGTTGGGGACACAGGTACTTTGATTTCAGACTGTATCTCATTGAGGGCACGTGGGGCAGTACACGGGGATGGTTTCCCACTTGATGCCTATTTAAGGGATTGACAGAAATTTTTGCAGTGGGTCTGATTGTTTAATGCTTCTGGAATTTAATCATGTCATTATTGGTATTCTAGCGTATCTAGTATTTTCATCATTTTTGCAAATAATTTGTATTTGAATTACTGAAGTTATTTTCATCTTGTTATTGAAGGGCTTGACGCTACCACCTATGTGTATGACTTCGGTGGAAGATAATGTGGCCTTAGCTGAGCAAAGCATACCTATAAATCACCCCTAATCAGAGCCTAAATGGAGTATCTTTGGTAAATTTAGAAGTAGCTTACACCTATGGAGGGACTCATAGTAGCATGACTTGCTTAGCACTCTTTATATACAGCCCTTCTTACAGAATGCCAAGTTCAAAATTAGTATGAAGTGTGAACTACTGTTGCACCTAAGAGCAGAGTAGCATATTTTCTTGGTATATGGGTTAGAAGGAAATTTGTCTGCTTTTATTATAGCTTCTGCCTTGCCAATTTTGCTTTGCATTTGTAGTCATGACTTTTAAGCTGAATAACTTAAAATGTTTTCCTTAGAAGAGTTTTAGTATGCAGAAGAAAATTGCAATGCAATTCTAAACAGCTGAAAAATAGTATATTTTGTTTAAAAGTAGATACTACAAGTGTATTCACTTGGCTGACTCTGTGTGTGTGCACCTATGTAAAATCTGTCATGGGAGAAACGGCAGACACTGTATTCCATCATGATGGTTGTCCCTTTGTGACTTGAGACTATTTCTGTTTTAGACAAAAGTTCCCATAAGATTCCCTGCTTGGACTTCTGAAGGAGCTGGAAAAACAATTTCCGTTCAGAAGTAATAATAACATGGGCTTTTGGTTTTGATCATGAACTGACATTTAAAAGTCATCTGAGGAAAGATATTTTTTGATTAAAGTAAGGTTTTGCATAACACAGTTGTAGCTGCTCTTCCCATCTGGTATCGCGCTACTTGATGGGATATCTTTCAGTTGCCCACTGTCCAGTTTGCGAGATCCCATAGGAGTTACTGACTTTCCCAAGAGACTTTTCAGTGGCTCAGGTCATTCTGTTACCCTGGTTATTGCTCGGCTTTTCTTTTCCCCAGGGAGAACTTGGAAAAGTTGCACAGCAGAGAATATAAGGTGATAATCTGGTACCCAGAAAGTGCATTGGAATTGTAGTTCTGTCGGGACGATCGCAGCTTGTGCATACTGCGTGCCTGATTTTTCATTTATGTGCCAGATCGGCAGTTTACCTGTGGGATATAGACATTACAGCTTATATGTGGAATATGAAAGGTAGATTGTGTGACTGCGTTTCCTGGGGTTTATTCCCTAAATTGTCAGTGGTTAAGATTGCTCGTTTAATCCTAGGTGCGGTAGTTTTGCTTCCTGCTTCTGCTGCGTGGTCCTTCTAAGGAGTTGTGGGTCTGGGCAAGGTACAGCTTCATGCTGCTGTTATGGCTTCAGTTGTAGCATGTATTCCACCTGAAGAGAGAGGCAGATATTTGTGTTTTGTGGATTCCTAAGGTATGATCTTCCCTGCTAAGAAGCTGGATTTATCCCAAATCCTGTGAATTTCACACAAGATCAGATTCTCATGGCATTCAGATTGATTGCCAAAACCCTGGCATTTATTGAAGGCACAGAATAATGGCTTGCTGTGTGCAGAACCTGCCAACACACTCTCTCCCAGGTACAAGGAAGCTTTTAAACAACAGAAAAATTAGATACTTTGAGATTTTCTTGAGATATCTCTGGTTTCTGTACAACATAAAATGCCACTCACCAGCTGGGGGTAAAGGCATTGATTATGGCAGCTACACAGGAGCTCCCAAAGGTCTCAGTATGGGCAGATGAAGATACAACATGACGCAGTGTTTAGCTACAGTACACTTGGGATCTCTTGTAAACAAGGAACCTTAAGAGTTGAGTTCACCAGATACGAGCTAATCCTAAATTTCTAGTATTTGCAACCTGGAGCTAAAGCAATCGCTAGATTCTCCGAGACCTACGATACCAGACAAATGAAGGTACATAATGAATATCAAATACATGGGTTATTGAGAAGGAAAGCCTGAAAAACTTGTTTGTCATCAGAGGAGCACAATTCCACAGGAAGTAAAGCTGAGAAAAGGTCACTGTTCTGTTAGGCTAGGGACCTTAGATCAGCCACGTTTTCATGCGGTAACTACCGTGCACTTTGTTGCCCCTTATGTGTCTTTGTTCCCAGGACAGATTGTGATCTTTATCCCCATGGTAAATACAGTACGAGCTACTCTGTAGAAATTAAAACTGGCAAATTCCATGTGTTTTATGTCATTTGGCATTCTGCACAAACCCCCTTCAGTTTGTCATAAATTCCTAAACCAGAGCAAGGTCACATCTGGTAGCAATTTCAGTCTGCCAGATGAGGCGTAATCCTGTAAAACCTAACTCATTTTCTCCAGTGCTTTTCAAAGACGGGCTCTCCTGCTCCTTTTCCGTAAAGCAGACCACTTGCCCTGTGAGCTCTGTAGAATGATTTAGGCTGACAGACTTTTCACACTTTATAAACTGCAATTTTTGGAACACAGCTTTGTATCCAGTCCGTAAGACAGTACAAGCAAGGAACAGTGCTGAAGTCTTCACCATAACAGGCTGTGCCCAGATTCTATTTTCTTTTGCAAGAGCACGTCCCTGCAGGATGCAGTAATTGTGTTCTTTCTCAGTATTTTGATGTGTATGCATCTCCTCATCCTCTGAGTAACCCATCACCTTACATACTGCTTAACTTCTGAAGAATCCATACATTGCTACTATTCAGCTTTTCTTTTGCATGTTTTTAAAATAGTTGCAGCAAAAGTTACAGGTAATTCAAGACAGACATGCAGAAGACTGTAAAATATTAGATGCACTAACAAAGGAATGGAACGATGATCAATCTTTGCACATTGTAGTAATTGAAAATAGCTCTAATTTCCAGTAACATGGAAGATTAATAGTAGTCAGGAGTTTTATATGTTATATGTCCATTATATTTTGATAATAGTGGTTACTTTGCTATCATCTCATTGCCTTTATTACACTGTATGGAGCTTGGGGATCCAGTTTCTCAAAAGGAGTATCGAAACAGAGTGTACTAGTAAGGTTATTTAAATCACAGAGGGAGGAGTTGGTGAAATGGTGATGTATTATAATGTGTTACTAAATAAAATTAACAAAACTCAGTTAAAAAATATTCTTTCAAGGTCTCCTAGGTCTTGCACAAGGACCTCTAAGGCCTGTTTGTGTAAGTGCCTGATACTGGTTTTTCCCCCCAAGGTGATCAAATTTAAGTAGCTCTTGATATCACATGAATGATACTAAAAAAAACCAAACCAAACCAAACCATCAAAACTTTAAAAAAAAAAAAAGTCTGAATTTTAAACAGTTGGTATTGTTACTCTTACTATTATGACTCTTATTGTTACTCTTACTTATTGTTACTCTTACTTATTGTTACTCTTACTTATTGTTACAAATGCAAGCTAATAAAATCCATTGCAACTGGAAAGCACTAGCTAGAAACCACCTTGTCTGCTATGATTTTTGTGACCTAATTATACCCTTTTGAAACTGTTTCTTCACAGGCCAAATATCCTGATGTTGTGACCCTTCCAGAAGGAGTGCTGGGAGATTATATAATTCTAAGGAACCCCAAAGTTTCTGGGTAAGTCAATAAATACATTTCTTGATTTATGCAGATAAAGGATTGTGAAATGCATACTGATGATCTAGAGATAATTGGTCTGCTTGAACATTGTCACTCTTTGCTTTGTAATGCCTCTAAACACAGGGATTAGATGATGTGTGTTACATTTTAGGGCTATAACCACACATTAAAAACAGGAGAAAAAAAAACCCAAAAATACATGTTCAGGCCACGTGGATGTGGCCCTGTTAGAAAGTCAGTCAATCAATCGTATTGCCACTGTGTGTACCCATGCTTTTAAAAAGCCAGGTTGAAAAAAATAAAGGGCTGTAGCAGGCTTTTAATTTGCATTTTAAGGGGAAAAAAAAAAAAAAAAATCTGTTACTGTCTTGGTTTTGGAAGCTCATGCTACAATGAAAAACCTAAATTCAAAGTTTAGGAATGTGGGATGCATCGTTCCTTTCACACATCAGAAAACATGTCTGGTTCAGCTGGATTTGTTCCATCTCAGTTTTCTTTCGGCGTTATGTGACCGGAGCAAGGGGCAGGACAGATGCTGAGGCCAACATCCCTCTTAGCGTGACAGGGTGGGCCACTGGCACCCGTCCCCTCCGAGATAAGGCAGTATTTTCCACCCCTGGGCCTGAAGGAGGGAGCTTATCCCTTCTTGCCAACGAAGGTCAGGGTGGCAGCCTGTCAATTACAACTCATATTTTGTTCTGGGGTAGGAGGTGCAGCGCTTGCAAATTGCCGAAGCAAAGCACAGTTCTTTGGTCATCTTGCCATTAAAGAATGGAAAGAAAATTGCAGTTACCTTGCTACTGAGAGCCACTGTAGCTGTATTTTTCCGTTGTTTTAGAAGGTAATCAGTTAGATGAAGGAGGGGATCGTTGCACTGCCGTTTAGTAGTGGTATTCTACCACGCATGCTGGATTTGTTTGGGCTCCCTGCTAGACATGTTCTGGCAGGTTTGGGTTTTTAAATTGAGTAAAAAAAAAAATATATATCCTTGAAGTTGCATGTAAGACAATATAATTATCACTGTCAGGAATTCTGTAAGGGCCAAGAAAAGTTAACTATTTTGTGAAGGGATCAGACCATTCCCTTCTCTTACTACATCTTTGCTATAACATGCATTCATTTATATGGAAACAACTGGAAATAAAGCGTAGCTCCCTCCATCATATGTTTGTCTATGGAACTAGCAAATAAACCGCAATAGTGCTGTCTCGGTTTAGCCAAATCTGCCATTTAAAGCTAAACAGTTTAACTCTGGGCTGCCAAAATGAATTCTTGTTAGACCATCGCAGTTAGAAAACTGCTTTATTTTACAGTTTCTCTTCATGTTGACAGGTGCCAAGTTCCATCACACATTCCCTTCTCACACACAATCATGAAATACAAGAATTTAAAATCATTTCAGTGGCTTGGTAGAACACACATTTGCATGTTGATTTGTTTGCAAAATCCCAGAACAAACTGTCCACAAATTCTCAAAGGGTTTTTACCAGTGAAGTGGCAAAAGGCTGACAAATCATATTGAGAGGAAACCTTTTACGGTCAAACGACACTGCGAAAGGGAACTTCCTCCTTGCAATGACTTGTTAGGGTGCAGCTCAGCTTTGGGTTAGGAAAGCCTTCCTTTCCATAAGGAATACTCCTAAAAGCATGGATTGGAGGGGATCACAAACTGCAGGAAAGCAGACGGGATGTTACAAAGCAGCAAAACTACTATGAATGTTGTTCTAGAGTATTCCCTGTGTACTTGACTAGAAACACTCGTCCCCTGCAGAAACCAATTGCCTAATTGTTCGCTTAGGGGGGTATAGGCATCCTGTCCCACCGCAAAAGCTGGAAATAATAATTAGCCTTGAAAAAAAACACCAAAAACACTCTTGAAGGAGTAATGATGGTTAAGATAATTTTTTTTTTTAAAAGTTAAAAGCAAACAGCTGCAGGAATCTAGGCCTTGGCTGTATTTTATTCCTGCATGTTACTCTAAAAAGACAATGAACAATATTGGGGCAGACCTTATTCCAAACCCAGAACATCACTATTTATGCAAACACTTCTGAAACTATTTTCCTGTTTTCATCCTGTATCTAAGCTGGATACCTGACCTCAGGGTGCAGGTCTTACGTAAGGGGTGGCGCAGGGGGATGCTCACTCTCATTTTCTTCCCTATCAACTTTGTAGCACTGCACTATGGAAACTTAACCATTCATGAGAGACAAAGACAAGAACCAGGGGAAAAAGTCCTTGAGGTTTAAAATGTGAATGTACCTGGAACCTTTCCTTGTCAGTAGATGACTGGTTTTCCTTGGTTCAAATCTAAGAGATTGGCAAGTGAATTTTGTTTAAGAGCATAATGAGTGTGAACCTCCTGAATACTGGACTTTCTGCTTTGAAGAACCCTTAAAGGCAGTTGCCTGGTTAACACTTAACTCACTTTTCCGTGCACATGCTGCAGGTTTGAATTACTGATTGTTTGGAAGATACATATAGATGAAGAAGGGAGAACTACGCCTGTCCTGGACCTTCTGACTAAAGTACCGGAGCAAGGTAAGGTCATGCACTTCAGAGACCATTCCTGAGCTTTCCCGTAGAACGCCTGTCCCCTTTTTTACTCAACATCTCTTTAGATAAAATGGAAATACACCATGCATAGCCCAACCAAGCAAGCAAATCCCACTTTAGCAAGTAGTTAAGCTTCACCTCCTGTATCATTTAAAACGGCTTACAAAACAAGTGTGTCTTCCTCTTCTGGACAGCAGGTTTTATCCAAACCTGCAGTGCGGACACAGTGCAACTGTTTGAAAATAACATTTGTGGTTACATTTTTCTTGCAGTCTTGGAGCAGAAGATGGCAACTATTGAAAATGCCCCCACCCGCTTCCGAAGCATGCTGCTTCTGTTTGGGATCGAGACAGCTATCGAGAATCTGATCCAAGTGGTTAGCTCAGAAAAATGAATACCAGCATGACTTACAACAGGTAGCAATTTCAAAAGTAGTTTTAATTAAGATATCGTGTTACACAGTCTATAATTTTATTGAATATAAACATTAAGTTATTTTCCATTTAGAAACCATACTCATAAAACATGCTATCTGTACAATTATGGCACGTTATATATAAATTGTCATGACATGAAAATAAATACAGCCATTTAAATACAAAAATGCCAAATAAAATAGTTACATGTACAGAGTGATTTCATTATAAATTTATCTTTCTGAATCATTAATGTACCAGAGTGGTTTATCTTCTTAACATTTTCTAGATACCTGGAAAGTGTTAAAAGATCATGCACTGTCAAAATCAAGTCCATAAAAATCCATTTCATTTCACAGCTCTGTAAAAGTACAGTGATTTTAAAATGACAAGAGAACAGTAAGAGACTCCTAGAACAAACAGTTAAATAGCTTTCTTGTTAAATTAGGGTAGAAGTAGACAATTTGAAGATTTCAAAGACATACCATGCTAAAAACAAAAAAAAAGGGTAGCTGTATGAAGTAACTTTTTTCCACAATATAAGTGTTGAGAAGAGATGGCATTAAACTAAACAAGAAAGGGCCATTACACTTCTTAAGAGAGATGGACGAGTTAACTACTGTTCACTGCAGTGCTTCATTTCAATTTCCTACTTCTAGGGGGAAATTCTAGTAGGTAACACATTACGAAAGCATCACATTTCATACATTCATCCCTGAAGAAAGAAACCCAATTAGACAGACATCTTGTCATCTTCCTTCACTTCCATCACACGTACCCTTAGCTCATTTGTGAACTCTCAGCATTCTTCAAGAGTTCCTGCTCTGCACTAGCTATCACAACCAACCAACCTTATCCAAACCAAACCTGTATGATTGTAAGTCCCAGACTGCTAAGGCAGGGAGTAACAGTTGTTGTTCCTGGAATCAAGGGGCCAAACCCACAAACTGGGGGCTCTCAAGTAACATTAAGAGACTTCCTTTTCAGGTCCACAGCTGTTATTACCATGCAAGCACTACAACTGCCTGCTGTGTTTACCAGTTATGACAAAATATTTTATAGCAGTGGAGAAATCAAGAACTAAAGCAACAGTATGTTTATAATACTGTAATTTTAATAATCGACTATTGGATCACTCAAATAGTCTCCTACTGTTCTGGTAGGTCAGGAAAATCTGACAGACCGGATTGGTTTCTGTCAGAATCTACAGCTGTGCAATGCCAGAGATTAAGTTTTGATGAACAGCAACTCTCTCATAAAAAGGCAGACCAATTTCAAGTTCGGAATCCAGCAGACAGGCAAAATTCATTGCTCCTTTATCCACTGACGTGTTACTGGTTTAGCTAGTTTTGTGTAACCTTCAGTTCATTTCATCTTTAGCTCCTTCTTTCAGGAAAATGAAAACTGTTTGATCAGCACATATACTTCTATTTGCATATGAAATGTGTGTAAAGTTACAGCATAAAAACCTGAAAACTTTCCAGCTGTGGATAGTCCGTCCTTCCTTCCTCCTCTTGTCTAACAGTTGGGGGATTTCTGGATTTAAAAACAGCACTCTCTCTGCCCAGGTTTCCTTTGGAAAGAAGGGGTTATCTCCACTGTCAGCTACCAGCTTATTGCACTGTTGTAGTATCACATTGCAGCAAGAGTGGCCTTGCCCCCCAGTCCCAGAAAGACACCCGGTCACCTGGCAGTGGAATACAAGACACTGCTAACATGGGGCACGGCCCACAGCAACACTCTAGTGTTGTGCTGGTGGCATTACTCCGTATTTCATAGTTCTTTCCTCAAGTTGTGCCAATAGACAGGGTTTTCTGGTTTTGCTGTTTGAGTTTCAGGTAAAATGAAACAATTCAAACATTATTCTTTTAAATGTTAACCTACGTTATTTTGAAAAACATTACCAGTAAACACCCATTGTTTCCAGGTAAAAGCAGTTCACTGTAGCTTGAATAGCATCTCCGCACATTTCAGGGCGTGTAAGCCCCAAGCATATGGGAAAAGTGGCTGTAGGTTTTATTGTGCTACCCTCAGTTTTGAATATATCCTCAGTCTCCAACACAGGATCTTCCTTGAGGACGGCTTTTACTGCAACATCTCACCCGACCTCAGCTGCATGTACCAATGTTTACAAAGTAAAGCCATCATTAAGTTGCTGAAGTAGTGATACAAGCTTAGCTCCAGCACTTATCATGAGAAAGCGACCCCCTGGAGCTTCAGAAACAAAAATCAGATACTGTCACCTTTTTTCTGTAAATAATAATAAATAATCTGTAAAACTCCAAATATGTTATTCTTATAGCTCAATTTAAATTAGGTAAGAGCGAGCTGTGGTTTCACCTTCAATAGCAGCATATAACATATAGAAAATAAAAGACCAGTATGTCAGATGAGTTAAGCCCAGCTATCACCTACAACTCAAAGATGCTTACCTTTAACCCTTTTCACTTAGTTTCAGAAGCTTTAGGTAGATACAAGGTGATCACAAAACTTGCGGAGGCAGCCTGGTGTTCTTAATCTCATGCATTAGTACTTAAAATTGTTCTGCAGTAACACAGTAGTTCCACAGATAAGTAACACTGGAGTAGCCACTTCAGTTGTGTTTTTCAGTGGACTTAATGCTAAAGTTTCATGTTAGGTTTTGTCAGAGCATTCCCTCTTCCTAGTAGGTATGAGTAAGACTCAAAGAACAAGCTCCAAGGCAATTCTCTTGTTTGTTAGTAAGTAGGCTTTCTATGTTAGTGCAATACTTGAGGAAACCTTTAATTCTGTGCTCTTTTGATTCTAAGGAAGTAGACTTTTAGTATTAATTTGATCTGTCCTCTAGTTCCACGGTATGGCACATTATCTGTTCTGTCATATTAAATACATTCATTAAGGTTATATAGCAAATGAGTGTTTTAGTGCTATTCCATGTCTTTGAAAAGGCATACCGATTAGAAATCTTTTCTTAAAGCAAAAACATTCACAGCTGAAAAATGCACTGAACACAACAGGGAAAAAAAAAATCACCATAATTGTATTCCATTAATCTTTCACTTTCTAATGTGTTTGAATAAAAACACCCTTAGGGAAACAGTTACACTTTATGGAGAACTAATGTGCAATCTTCATTCTCCTTGAAGAGATTGGACATAACGGGGTCATCTTTGGCCTGTACATTCTTCAAATAATAGTTTACTATCTTGCCATCAAGTTTGTACTGATGAGGGATGCTTTCATATGGTTTTAGATCGAGGTCCAGGACAGAAACAGAAAAGATGAATCTTGATTTGGATGTCAGTACCACAGGTCTTTGCTCAGAGCTGGAAAACAAAACCGTCACTTCTCACTTGTGTATCCCCAGTCCTCTGGCAAAAGTGACTCATGTTTATCTTAGACTTTCATGGGGGCCTAAGAAAATAAACTATAGCTCCAGCTTAACCAGTCTGAGAGTGAACTTGCTGGCACCTCTTCCAGTCCTTTTCCTTTCAGCTTAGGTCAAAACATTCCTCTCAATTAGTGTCTCTTTATATTTAGTAAAGCTAACCTGTTCCTAGATGGTTTGCAAACAAAGCAACAGCCTTATTAACTAACAGAAGCAGAAAGAATCACTGCAACTCCTGCTTAGGTTCAAGGTAATACAAATTTAGTATCAGAACTAGTGTCCAAGCATACTGAAGAATGGAGGACTTCTTAATTCAACCATTGCACAAGTCATCTCCACCATGAACATTTCATTCAAGAACTGCAGGGCAAATGCAGAAAACAATATTCTCTAAAGGTAACAAAGCTTTGGTAAAGCAAACTCCCCGACATAAGCGCAGACTATCATTGCTGACGCAAGTCACAATGGATAATATTGTGGCAAAGCCTCCTGCCTTACAGTGAAAGGTGTCACCTCTTGATTATTGCCTTGGTTTTATTCTAATTAGGCAGTTAAAGGCAACTTATCCTGAAAAATCTCTCATATGAGGACATCAAGGCATAAAAATTGTACCTAGTTAAAATCGTGTGCATCTACTATGAACAGTCAATTCAGATTCCAAGAAGGGAGTAAATATAAAACCTTAACCTTTTTTATCAACTTAAAACTCCAGAAACAGACGTTTGTCATAAATGTCTTAAATCAGAACTCTGCCTTGCTAATAATATGCTCACAGCCAACTTTTTGGACACCCCACTCCCCCCCACCCCAAAAAAACCCCACAACATTTTTTTAGTTACTTGAATTGACTGAACCATGCAAATGCATCTTCACTTTCTAAATAAGCAGTCACGTCTTACCATTCATCTTGTAGACAGGGTGAAAGGGCAATCATGATGGAGCAGTCTTTAGCAGTCATTGCTATTCTGTACTGCTGCACCTATACAATGTAAAAATAATATAAATTTTCTCCAATATTTGTATTTGCCTTTAGTAAAGCATACTGTTCTTTATGAAAGGCATTAGTACACTCAGTATACTAGTATGGTGGTACTTTAAGAGCTGGAAATTATCTCTGTAACAGATGGTTAGCAGGAGCAAGTCATTTTACAGCATCCTGTGTACTTTTCTTGAAGGCCAAAACAGCCCCAGTTCATGTAAGCAAGTGCTTCCTCAGTCTAGAAAGGAAATAACCAGCTTTATTTTTCTCTCAAAAACTGGTGCTAAACATGTTTGGTTTTAACTGCTCCTACTATAAAGATACACCCTGGCACAATTAAGAACTTCAATGGTACAGACCTCTGAGAAGGCACTGGTGCGAATACGCTATCCCTCCCTTTCAGCAAGGCAGGTGTTGATTGACATTGACAGACTAAGCTTCAACAACACGCACAGGAAGAGTACCTTTGTTAACGCGAATGCTACTGTCCCATCATCTTCAGTTGAAAGATCTAGCAGCTTCTCATAAAATGCTTCATTGTAAGGTCCATCTATCTGTAACGTACTTCTAAATAAATTTTAAGAGAGGATTTACAGACAACCAAGATGAATTACTGGTTTTCAGTGAGATCTTTCTTCTGCAGCCCAGACACTCAGATTAGAACAAACCAACAATAACACCAATAAACATGGCAACAGGTTAATACTCAGAGATCTAACACCATGACCAGTCCCTATTATTCTCATATTGCTCAAGATTTGCTGCTTCTACTTAGAATTTGGGTTGGTGTTTGTTTGTTTTAAAGATGAGTCACTCTTAATCCACTGCCACCTGTGTACCACAAGAACAGTATTTTTTGCAAAAATGAGTAAG